TAAGTGTGTTCGTTGAACAAATAAATTGTAGTGTTGCATTTATTTGTTGTTGATCATTTCATCCTGGGAGATAGATGTCCATATTCTGAAAGCACTGAGAAGAGGACGAATCTATCTTAAGGACACAGTGTCAAACACTGGACTTGATCAGATTATTATTAGAAGAAATTAATCAAGTAAGTTATTTAATTTATTATTCTGTTATATTTATTTATTTAAATCAGATTTTAATTTTGTTTTTGTAACAAAATAAAATCTGTTTTTATTTATTTATTTCTGCATCTAGTTTAATTTTTGTAATCAAACAAATTTCTCGCATTTCCTTTATTTCTTTATTATTCTATTTGTTGTTAAGTACACAAACAGAATTAATTAATTACAGCGAAGATTGTTGGACAATCTTAAGACATATATTTTTGGTGTCTTCATTGTATTTAATTTCCTGTGTTTTCAAAGTAATATTCTGGTTGAAAAATACAAATGGTATTTATAAATTATTTGACGGATAGTAGTAATATACTGTCTATGATTTCAGTGATCTTTGATCTGTTGTGTTATTATTATTATTCTCTTTGATTTGAGGCATTTCTGTTGCAGATTAACCACCATGGACGACCTATTTGGAGCTTTCTTCTTGGCTAGATCTATGTAATAGCAGTTTATCTTCAACTTTTAATACGTTTTTTTGAAGCAATTAATAAGTAGGCTTTCTTGTACCTACCTCCTCGGACCTAATTGCAAATCACCGACAAAACCTCAACCTAATCACGTCAAGATCTTTCTTCGAATTAATTCTTTCCTTCTCACCAAAATCATCCTCCTCCTTTCCTAAAGTATTTTTTGTAGCTTTCCCTTTGTCACTCTGATCAAATTTTCTCGGATAATTATATAAATTTTTATCCAAAAGACCTTGAAATTCAGAAGAAGTTCAAAATGCATCGATTTGTTTTTTCAATTTTCCTGTGCTTCGCGGCTATTGCGCCGTTCCTGAATTGCGGGGTTCTTGCTGATGTGGTGACTTGCTCTGGGATCGTGCCGATGAGGTATCGGAACGATATGATATCGATTATGGACTTTGGAGGTGTGGGAGATGGAGTGACAATGAACACGAAGGCGTTTAGGGCGGCGATTTATCGGATAGAGCATCTGAGGCGGAGAGGTGGTACACTTCTATATATACCTCCTGGGGAGTATTTAACAGAGAGTTTCAATCTTACCAGCCACATGACCCTCTACTTGGCCAGAGGTGCTGTGATCAAGGCTACTCAGGTACTTTCGCAAACATTGTTGGAAAATGGTTTGAAAAATCTGGGTAAATAACAGATTTTTTCTTAACTTTGGTCTAATATTTATGTAGGACCCATGCGTCGATTTTTGCGGGTCGAAGTGGTAACGCGTTCTATGCCGTGTTGTGATTCGCGTGGTATATTTAGTTGCTCAAAACCATTACCGGGTGAATGAGAAATTGAAGCCAAATTATGCTCCATAGAAATGGAGTTTTGGTAAAAATCCTTAAAGGTTTGAATAAGACTTGTCTCACATTGATTTGGTGGGAAGTTTTGAATGGATTTATAAGGCATGAGATTGGAACTTGGGGTGTGCCCCAAGGAGTACCCAAATGTTTTAGAGAGGGAGGTTATGGGCAAAATGGGCTAGACCCATTGGACCCAAAAATCACCACGCGCCCAGCCGTCCGGTTGGGTTGGGTTTGTCTAGCCCAGTACCTTTCTTTTTGGGTTAAAAACATTTGAATTTTATTTTATTTTTTGGTAAAATAAAATTCAAAATTCAAATTAATTTCGGAAATAAACTGGTCTGGTTTTACTGTACACCCAAACAGGGCCCTTCCCGTTTTTTATCTGTTTGAATTTTGAACCCAACATATTCAAATTTGTTTAAATTCAAAACCAAATAGGTTTCATACTTGTTCAAACAGGTTTGCACCTGTTTAATTCAAAACCTGTAGCCATCATTACATCTATAAATAGGACAGCCCTCATTTGATGTTTAATACATTCAGAAAATTCATACTTCACCTCTGCAAATTTATTCTTCATTTTGCTGCATTTAATCTTTTTGTGAGAAAAAGTATAATTAAACACTTAGTGTGTTCGTTAGGCAAACAATTTGTAGTGCTGTTATTGTTTGTAATTAATCATTTCATCCTGGGAGATGGACGTCCACATTCTGAAAGCACCGTGGAGAGGACGAATTTGTCTTAAGGACACAGTGTCAAATACTGGACTTGATCAGATTATTATTCGAAGAAATTAATCAAGTAAGTTGTTTAATTTATTATTCTGTTATATTTATTTATTTAAATCAGATTTTAATTTTGTTTTTGTAACAAAATAAAATCTGTTTTTATTTATTTATTTCTGCATCTAGTTTAATTTTTGTAATCAAACAAATTTCTCGCATTTCCTTTATTTCTTTATTATTCTATTTGTTGTTAAGTACACAAACAGAATTAATTAATTACAGCGAAGATTGTTGGACAATCTTAAGACATATATTTTTGGTGTCTTCATTGTATTTAATTTCCTGTGTTTTCAAAGTAATATTCTGGTTGAAAAATACAAATGGTATTTATAAATTATTTGACGGATAGTAGTAATATACTGTCTATTTTCTTTGACAACTAGTAGTAATATGCTGGTGTCATTAATAATTGCAGAATATTATTTGGTGTTACAGAAAATTATTTTGGTATTTTATTTTTTTAATTTTAGTAACAAGGAAAATAAAATTATTTTGTGTTATAATTTATTTTTTGGTTTTAGTAACTAGAAAATTAATTTGTGATTTGTTTTTCTGATTTTTGTAATCAGATATGATTTCAGTATTTTATTTTACTAGTTTTAATAACAAGAAAAATAAAATTATTTTGTGTTATAATTTATTTTCTAGTTTTAGTAACTAGAAAATTAATTTTGTTAATTTATCTTAGTTCATCGTTAGTATACATGGAAGTATTTGATTCTGGAGTTAAATATTAGTTTTACAAACTAATTTCATTTTTATTACGAAAAAACCTTTGTGGCAAGTTTATTTTCTTTATTGGTTTACTGATTTGTTCTTTAATTTCTGTGTTTGGATTCGTAGTCGTGAATAGTTTCTGCACATGAGTTGGAAAATATATATATATATATATACATACACAAGAACATTTTAATGTATATATAATTAGTTTATTTATGTACAAATCAAACTGATTAAATGAAGGAATGTTTTGTCATTTTTGGAGTTTAAAGTTTAAAACGCGTTGGATTTTATTTATGGGTTGAGAATCTATTTTATTTTACTAGTTTTAGTAACAAGAAAAATAAAATTATTTTGTGTTATAATTTATTTTCTAATTTTAGTAACTAGAAAATTAATTTTGTTAATTTATCTTAGTTCATCGTTAGTATACATGAAAGTATTTGATTCTGGAGTTAAATATTAGTTTTACAAACTAATTTCATTTTTATTACGAAAAAACCTTTGTGGCAAGTTTATTTTCTTTATTGGTTTACTGATTTGTTCTTTAATTTCTGTGTTTGGATTCGTAGTCGTGAATAGTTTCTGCACATGAGTTGGAAAATATATATATATATATATACATACACAAGAACATTTTAATGTATATATAATTAGTTTATTTATGTACAAATCAAACTGATTAAATGAAGGAATGTTTTGTCATTTTTAGAGTTTAAAGTTCAAAACGCGTTGGATTTTATTTATGGGTTGAGAATCTTTTTTATCTCATGATGCAAGTTATGAGATCATGCATGATTAATTTATTTTGTTAAATTCATTATTTTTAGTTGATGCGTTTGATATGCATGTATTGATATCAACTCAAGTTATTTCTTAAAAAAAATAATTCATGTGATTTGGAATGATAAATTGATATGTTGACTTTGTACATTAGCAGTTTAATTTAAATACAGTGAAGATTGTCCAACAAACATTTGGTACAATCACCGCTATTACAATCATTACCTTTTATGCTTTAATCAAAAATGTGGAAGATGTTTGAATTGACTCCAGATTGCGCAGTCAGGGCTGCAAATGAGCCAAGCCAATCGTGCTCGTTTTGATTATTAACTGGCCACGAACTCGGCTTGACTGGTTAATATTAATAAAACTCGAGCTCGGCTTGGCTTGGCTCGATAAGATTTTTTTTTTTAATTATTTATATTATTTAATATATAAATAATGTATTTATGCTATTGTTTATATATCTATTTAATATGTAAATAATGTATTTATTATATAATTTAAATAAAGATAAACAAGTTGGACTTATTCCTAGTGTAGAACTATCATATTGGTGAATTTGTTGTTTGCTGCGTTCTTGGCTTAACCCAAACAAACAATGTTTATGGAATTTAGTGCTTTGAGTGCTAAATTGATTTCAGTTTCAACAAGCAAATGGGTCTTTTAACAATTGAAGTATGCTGTTTTTTTCATCATGTCTTCGGCGGAGGAATTGGGGTTCCGTGAATTTCAATTTGTGTACATTCTGTTTAAAGTGAACTAAAAAAAATGGGTGTTGTACTGTTGAGGCTATAGAAGAAGCATTTGTGTTCGTAGATTATTTGGAAATTAAGGGACAGCCATAGCCCATGATGGGTCCAGGGGATAAATTGGTGGGGATCTAATTGCATGTGCATGGCATTTGGATTAGTGACAAACAGGATGGGAGGACAGCTATGTGGAATGACACTGATATGTTGGTATCTGTGCTACGACGTTATTTTATGACAATTTGATCATTTCATGCTCACTTTACTGACCAGTATGGCATTGTTATTGTTCTTGTTGCAACTTGTGACCTATGGGGGACAAAAAGATAATAAAACAAGAAAAAAATATTGTTGTAAATGATAGTAAAAGGATAAATGCTGGATACACTGTTTAGCAGTCATAAACCGTGTCTGATTTGCAATGTGGAATTATCATTTAGAAAAAAGTAGGAGTATTAAGGGACAAGGTAAAGCAACAACTATTTCTACACGGTTGTGAACTTTTGAATTCACAATAATGGTCAGATCATCCACCATACATTATGATCTCAAAATGTAGGTATATACCCTACTATGTCACAAGAGCTAATGGCCCCGTTTGGTGTAGCTGTTAAAACAGATTATAGATTATAGTTTAACAGATTATAAATTATGACTTTAATCAAAAACTGTTAATCTATTTGGTATAACTGTTGAATTATAAATTTAAGTTGCTGAGTAGCGTTTGTTAAATAAGTTATGAAATAGTTTTTTCAATTAATTTTTATTTTTTGTTATTCATTATTTGTCTACATTTCTCATAAAAAAAAAAAATAATATTCTACAGTCCATTGGGATCTTTTTCTATTTTTAAAAAAATAAAAAATAAAAAGATCTAAGAGTATAACCATAAATTAACAAGTCTACAACAAAAGCTGATAATCAGAAACAAGGGGTGAGCAGCTTCTCAGAATCAGTTTTTTTGAGTTAAAATAAGTTATGAGAATCAGAAGCTATTTGAAATAAATTTAATCAAACAGTCCAAAATAACTTTTTCAAAGCTAAAAGCAATAAGTTCGCTTTGAAAAGCTGAAACAAACACCCCCAAAATAGTTGGCGCGACTCTTATTATGTCCCAACTGCTGGAAAAAAAAAAAGTTTTATGGTGATTTTAATATGAAATTAAAGTAGGTCTAAATTATTGGTTGAGTTGAGATTAAATAAGTTTAAATTATTTGTAACAAAATCTTTACATCACAAAAAGAATGAGCAAAAATCATTAAGAATTGAATAAGAAATTTTCTTATAAAGTTGGCCTCATGAATAAAGTATTGGGAATTGTGTATAACTACCAATCCCACATTGATAGCAGAGGAAAACATTGTTGCGTATTTAAACCTCAAGATTTTGATAAGGGCATGAGCCTTTTGGGGCATCCAAATTTTCCGAAGGAAGGGAGTTATGGATGCTTCAAGAATGGGCTTGGGCCAAAACTATGGTCCAAGTTTGTTATGCAAAAATTTTCACACGCGCCCGCCTGCTAGGACCAACTAGGCCAGGTCCTGGTCTGTGGTCCATGATCCATGGGACTTCGAACTTGGGCTTGGGTTTTGGTTTGGGTTTGGCCTTGAGCTTGAGGCTTGTTGGAATGGGTTAGGTTTGGGTTGGGCCGGATTGGTGGCCTATCAACGTAATCTTTTTTGGTCCAAGTTTGTTAGGTTGCTGTAGATATACACACATCTATATATAGAGTGTGTAACTCACACACTTTTGTGCCATCAGTTTTCTTGTATTACTTCTTTAGTTTTGCATAAATTGAATTTTGTATTTGTTGTAGAAAAGCTTCTCCTCTCTCCCCCATTGTGTATAAAAAGAGGCCTTCTTCTTGGTTTCAACATAGAAATTCTTTGCTCAATCAAAATTTTGCTCACATGAGAAGTCCTAATGCCCATAAGTAGTCTGTCCCAGTGTCAATCTCACTGCAGTATTTTTACATCTGGTGGTTATGATCTTAGATGTAAATTGTTTTGCTGGAGTCTTTAAGCCATTTATGCAGCTAAATACATGTATGATGTCGGGCCAAAGTTTGTCATTTACCAAGAAACAGTATGGACATATTATAGTTGGTTTACATCAGACCGCTTCAAATTTTTAATTTTAATTTTAATTTATACATTATCTTTTTATGTTGCACTAATGTGAAACTCTTCTGGCTTTGACATGTAGGATACAAGATATTGGCCTTTGATTGCCCCCTTGCCTTCATATGGACGAGGGAGGGAGCGTCCAGGAGGAAGGTATATAAGCTTTATCCATGGAGATGGACTTCATGATGTGATCATTACTGGTCAGTATGAATATAATGCCTCTTATCATTTGATGATTGCTTTCCAGCACATTTGTGGATGCCTACTTTCAACCTACAACGACTTGCCTAATCAAATGGGCCACACAAATGTTGTTTCTTATGATCTTGTCATAACAAAATGAATCCTGTTTCCTCCTCCTCCTCCTCCTCCTCCTCCTTCTTCTTGTGTTTGTGTGTGTGGGTATATCTCTTTCGTATTCATTCTTCTCAATTGAGGACCTTAGCATTTTTCTTTTTCTATGTTTAATGGTTTAACTGAAAATATGCCCCTCCTTGATCGAGTGAAATGGTGAAATAGAATTCATGTAGCTGAAGTCCGGGACAAATTTTATGTAGTTAGTTTTAGTGTTTGTATATGATCTTCACTTGCATATATACGTTTCCACGAAACTAACAAATTTTAATTATATCCCTACCCCAGGCCTTTTCTTTTTTTTTTTTCTCTCTTTTTCTTATGTTTTTTTAGTTTCTTTTTTGTTTCCTTATTATTGTTATTATTTTTTGTGGTTCTTCTGCTAAGCAGTCAATATTAGTTAGATTTGATGAATTGGTTCTTTCTTAGGTGAGAATGGAACGATTGATGGCCAGGGAAGTGTTTGGTGGAACATGTGGAGGCAAAGAACCCTCCAATTCACAAGGCCACATCTTATTGAATTCATGAACTCCGAGAACATTATCATTTCCAATGTCATTTTCAAGAACTCCCCCTTTTGGAACATTCACCCTGTCTATTGCAGGTAATAATTGAACATTGTTTTTGGACTTGGATACTATACATTTTATTAACATCTCCTATGTTCTTATTCTAATGAATATTTGCTGAAGTTTAGTAATCCCTTTTTTGATTAGTACTGAAGCTTAGTAATCCTATCCATCTGATAACATAGAACTTTATTTATATATTTTTTTTAATGACAAGTAACATTTGATAAAAAAAAACTTACTGTAACTATATGCATTTCCGGTCTTGTTCATGTAAGGTTGTTAAAGTTGTCATTCATCCATAAGAAATGAGCTTGCCTCCATATGGTGCAGTTGGTTCCATGGGGCCACCATGGTTCCCACTCTGGTAATCTAATCAGTTCATCTTGTGGGCCCGTATGTGTAGATCTTTCGTGAAAAAAAAAAGAAAAAAGATTGATCCACTAATCACAGTGACATGATTTTATCATATTTGATTTTAGAAAAATGAACGGTTTATTTTCAAAATCAGATATGCAGGCCATTTTATTGAAGACAAATATAATGAAATCATGTGGTTATAATTATCGGATCAATGTAATTTTTTTTTTCATGGATGATATACACAACAGTTCACAAGATGAACTATTTGAATCACCACAATGGACCCATGGTGGGCCCCACAGTGGGCCCCACAGGCCCAACTACATCATCTTGTCCACCCAAGTAGATTTGAGACAGGCCACATTCTAAGACAAAATAACACCTCCATTTCTTGTTCCTCCAAAATTGAATTTTATGGATGATGTGTAAATTTTTAAATCTGGATCTTATTTATGAACTCTCCCACAAAGTTTCTGGCGTCTAATTACTTGTAACTGGTGTCTAAATCTGTAATTCTCAGTAGTCAGAAAGTAAGTAGTGTCAGAGAAGCATAGGGTCAGCCATGATCAAACACAATTGCAGAGCATATACTGGCATGGTTTGCAAGAAAATTCAGGTTTATCTATAATTTGCATCTTTTTTCACGAGTTATTTTAAAGTTTAAAACTGTATTAGGAAGCAGAGATTAGGAATGAGAATGGTCGGCCATTTTTCAATTTTCTTGAACTGCATCCTTATATTACTCTTTGATACTAGTATGATTTCCCAGAAAATTGCAAGGCAGTGACTTTTATTGGTTCTGAGTCCTCTGACAGTCAATTTCTTCTTAACAGCAATGTCGTTATTCAATATTTGACCATATTGGCTCCACCTGACTCTCCCAATACGGATGGAATTGATCCAGGTATGCTGTATAAAACAATTTTAGTGTGAAGTACATTCTTTTTCTTTTTCTTCTCATCTATTATATATATGTATATCTGACAACAACAATTATGCCCAAATATGTGTGTTTGGAAGGAGAAAGATTAGGTACACATCTAACCTTTGGCATAGTACGCAAAGTGGTTGTCTGAGATTTGAACCTATAACCTCAAGGTTATTATATATATATTATTTTATTTCTGAATTGTAGCTATGTGGTATGCCATTAACTCGGGTCATATATATGTTTATATAAGGGGGAATTACATGCAGGTGGGAGCAAGTGAAAAAAATTACCAACATGTAGGGGTGCAAGTGTGTCTGGGGTGGGATGTAAATAAAGTGCTGTGGGGTTGCAAGTGTCACTTGCACTCCCCATGTGTTGGTAATTTTTTTTCCCTTCTTCCACCTGTATGTAGTTCCACATTTGTATTTAGATTTGCTACATATCTTGCGCAAGGAACGCAGTACTTTTTATTTTTTTGGATGGTGTGGAAGGCATGGCTTTGTGAATGAACATTTCATTACTTAGATGGTCCATAACTCATGCAGATCAGTGCTTTTATTTTTTTGGATGGTGTGGAAGGCATGGCTTTGTGAATGAACATTTCATTACTTAGATGGTCCATAACTCATGCAGATCAGTGCAATGTCAGTACTACATGCTTTTTGTTTATTGAAGGGACATTTTTAATGAAATTTTAACTAAATATATACTCTTGATAAATTGAGACAGATTCAAGCAGCCGTGTCTGCATTGAGGACTCGTACATTTCTACGGGAGATGACCTTGTGGCGGTGAAGAGTGGGTGGGATGAGTATGGCATTGCTTATGGTCGCCCTAGCATCGACATCACCATTCGGCGGGTCACAGGATCGTCCCCATCTGCTGGAATTGCAGTTGGAAGTGAAATGTCTGGTGGGATAGAGAATGTATTCGCTGAGCACATAAGCCTCTCTAACATGGGAGTTGGCATCCATTTGAAGACAAGCATCGGTAGAGGAGGGATCATTAGAAACATTACTGTGACGAATGTGTACATGGAAAACGTGCGAAAGGGTATAAAGATTGCAGGAGATTTCGGGGAACATCCTGATGACAAGTTCGACCCAAATGCTCTTCCAGTCGTTAAGGATGTCACAATTAAAAATGTCTGGGGTGAAAACGTCCAGCAACCAGGTTCGATACATGGCTTGAGTAACTCCCCTTTCACTGGGATTTGTCTCTCTAATATCAACATTCATGGTGGAACTACAACAGGACGGAGAAAAACTCCTTGGCAGTGCTCTGATGTTAGCGGTGGTGCTGTTGAGGTCAGCCCATGGCCATGTTCTGAACTGGCTAGCACCCATCAAACTGGTGCATGTTCCATTCCCTTTTGAGATTGTTGTTGTTCTTTAAAACTCTGTCCAAGCAAGTAATAAAAACTATGATTGTGATTAGATATTAAAGATTTCATCTTATTTTATTTTTTATCCTTCACCTCTGTTGATTTTAAACTTCATTTCAAATGGAGAATGAGAGCAATTAGATAGTGTTATTTTCATCTTCAGATAGAACATATAAACACATAGTGTTATTTTCATCTTCAGATAGAACATATAAACACTTCCTAACATTAGAGTCTAAACTATCACCATTTTTTTCATTTCATCAACCTAAAGTATTAATTTTATCTATTTGATTCTTAAGGTTTGTGATTTCTGTCTTTCATGTGTTTCAATTTGTGATGAGTCTATAAATCGCGAACTGTTAAAGCGCAAAAAGGTAATTATATAATTTGTATTCATTTGTATAATTGTTGTAATAATTTAGTAATAATTTAAATTAGCTACAAAAAATAAAATAATTTAAAGCTCTGTTTGGGAAGATAGTTTTGAAGCTTTTTTGGCTAAATTAGCTACAAAAAATAAAATAGGCTTTTAACCTAATAAGACAAAACATCGCATCCAATCCATAATCATTATATTCTTTCTTTCATAAAAAAGTCAAAAAAGTTAAAAAAAGCCTAAAGTCCTTCCCAAATTAGGGCTTTTAGCCTCAGGCTAAAATAGCCAAAAAAATTAAAAAATCAAAAAGCCAACCCACTTCCCAAACAACACCTAAGTTTAAAAGTGAAATTTGAAATTAATGAAACATTCCATTATGCAACATCTGACAATCATCATGCTATTATTACAACAACCAAAATTACTTGCATATTACATCCAAGCACTACAAAATATACGAAACAATTTTTTATTGGTAGATAATGGGGCAGCAGTGAACCAGCTTTTGAAATCCTCTTTGAAGAAACTAGGGAAAAAGAACTCCAGATTAATCCCAAGCAGCACAACCATTGCTGGTTTTGCTAGGGATAAGCAGATGGCTCAGGGTATTCTACCCATCAATTTGTGTGTAGGAACCAGAGATTGCATGACGGCATTCTTTGTTATTGATAGTAATGCTAAGTATAATGCTTTACTTAGCAGGGATTGGATTCACACCAACAAATGTGTGTCTTCCTCTCTACATCAGAAGATAATGATGGCCTTATGCAATGGAAAACAGAGAAGATCAATGCAAACTCTCAACCCTTTGTCGCTTGTGCTGACTTTGCGGAGGCCAAGTTGTATACTGAAGGAGTGACACCGCTCAGTATATTGAGAAAACCTGATGGTTCAGCCAAAGTGGAGGCTGATGAGGAAGTAACACACCTGAAACACTTGGTACAAGAGAGTGCTAATAAAGAATTCATCATCAAAGATGATAATGATGTCTGGTTGTAGGCAAGAAAATGAAACCCAAGAAGCCAGACCCTTGGCTTTAGGCAAATTTTCCGCATTGGACTTAAAATCAATAGTCCAAAAGGTCCAGGAACAAGAGAAGGAAGCCATGGTAGTTGGGTGTAAGCAGGAACAACAACATGTCAAACCTTTGACCTTTGATAAATACTGTGCATTGGACATCGAAACAAAAGTCTAGGAAATACCGGAAGAAGAAGTCTTATGGACAGACTTTGTCTATAAGGAATAAGACAACAAATATCTAAAAAGACGACAACAAACTTTAAATCTTATCCCAACAGCTTTTCTCAGTAGGACTGAGTATTGATTGAAGTAGGATAGATTATTATTCTTAACAGGACCCACCATGTCTTCCTAAAAACGAAAAAGGCGCATCAGTATGACAACATCGAATAATTCATTGTCTATCTCCTTGAGTTCACAAGTTTGTTGATAGACTTCGGGCAGCTTGTCATTGTACAGGTTGTCACTGGTAGCGGCTCGTGCAATTGCTTCCAACTTGAGCTGTTGGATTTTGACCAATTGTTGGAGAGCTGTTCGGGCTTGTCCAATTGCATCATCTTCCTCGTTGGACAATAGGACTTGAATTTCTGTGAATTCATTTCCAGAGACTCCATGGTCATAGGTGAACAACTTAATTTCCCCATGACCGATTGTTGAGCCCAAGAAATCCATTTGGACTGCCGCAATCTTCATTTTTGTAGGGCTAAGAATTAAACCATTCTTTCGGCAGATTTCAATCATAGATTGAATATGCTTCGTATGAGTTTGCTCATCTGGTGAGAAAACCAGAATATCATCAATATATACAGCAATAAACTCATCTGTCTCTGCCTCCAATAGATTAGAGCAGAACAAAGCAAAGAAATTGCTTTGAGAACAGAAGAAATCAAAAAAGAAGGATCAGTGAGTTCTCAAATACAAGACCCCTTGGAAGAAATTAATTTAGGGGAAGGTTCTGCACAGCAACCCATTTACATCAGTGCTTGGTTAAGTGCTCTTGACAGGGATCGGTTATTGAAGGTCTTAAAGAGATATAAAGATTGTTTTGCATGGTCTTATAATGAACTACCAGGATTGGATAGGTCATTAGTGGAACATAAGCTCCCTATGAAGCCTAATTTCAAGACATACAAGTAGAAGCCAAGAAGGATGAGTCCTAAAGTGATTCAGAAGGTCAAGGAGGAAATTCTTAGGCTCCTTAAGGCAAGCTTTATTAGAACAGCCAGATATGTTGAATGGCTATCCAATATTGTGCATGTGGTTAAAAAGAATGATAAAATGAGGGTATGCATCAATTTTAGAAACTTGAATTTAACAACTCCAAAAGATGAGTACCCCATGCCTATAGTAGACTTATTGGTGGATAGTTCAGTAGGGCACAAGATTTTATCTATGATGAATGGGCATTCTGGTTATAACCAAATTTGCATTGCAAAGAAGGATGTCCATAAGACAGCATTCAGATGTCATGGGAACATTGGCACCTTCGAATGGGTTAAAATGACATTTGGCCTAAAGAATACTGCGGCTACATATCAAAGGACAATGAACACTATCTTTCATGATCTCATTGGAGGGTATTTAGAGCGTTACAATGATGATATTGTAGTAAAATCTCAGTCCACGGAGGAACATTTGGTTTACTTGGAAGCAGTCTTCGAAAGAATGAGAAAGTTCAAGTTAAAACTTAATCCTCTCAAATGTACTTTTGGTGTATCAGCTAGAAACTTCTTGGGCTATGTAGTACACAATAAAAGAATACAGATTTATCAGAATAAAGCCAATGCCATCATTGAAGCCAAGCCTCCATCAAATAAGAAAGAAGTATAAAAATCCCTTGGACATGTTAATTTTCTTCGAAGATTTATTTCTAACACTATAGGGAAAACTAAAGTATTCTCTTCCTTATTAAGGTTGAAAGATGAGGAGGAGTTTGTGTGGACAGAAGAGTATCAAACTACTTTCCAAGGAATTAAAGCCTACTTAGCCAAGCCTCCAGTGCTGATGCCACCAAAGAGTGATAAGCCCTTGAAGTTATATATTGTTGCAGCAGAAGATTCATTGGGAGTTTTCTTAGCCTAGGACAATGAAGAAGGAAAAGAACAAGCAGTTTATTACCTTAGTAGGTTTTTAAATTCTTGTGAATATAAATATTCAGCTGTAGAAAAGCTATGCCTTGCATTGTATTTTGCTGCAATGAAATTAAGATACTATCTTTTGCCTACAATTGTCTTGGTAATTGCAATCACAGATTTGGTTAAGTATATGTTATCTAGACCTATGTTGAGAGGAAGAATTGGCAAATGGATACTAGTCTTATTAGAATTTCATCTTGAATATGTCTCTCAAAAAGCAATAAAAAGACAAGTTTTAGCAAATTTCTTAGCAGATCATCCATGTTAGACAGAAAGTCAAGAGATAATGGACCTAGGTATGGTTAATATTGAGCCATGGCATATATGGTTTGATGGATCAAAAGCCAATGGTCTAACTGAAATTGGTATGGTGATTAAGTCACCACAAGGGGTAGAAACCACACATGAAATTACTTGTTCCAATAATCAAGCTGAATATGAAACTTTAATAATGGGACTGAAAATGCTTATTGGATTACAAGTTCATGCAGTTGATATATTTGGGGATTCTCAATTAGTGGTCAACCAAGTGAAATGAATTTTCAAATGTCAAAGTGCAAGCATGTTGCCATACTATGTTGTTGCATTACATTTGTTTTCTCAGTTTCAGATAGCAAATGTGACTTATATCCCGAGATTCATGAATAACAAAGCCAATGATGTAGCTCAGAAAGTTTCGAATTTCAGGAGAAAGGATGACACTCAAATGAACATAAGTCAAGCAACATATCAAAAATTAATACCACCCTTAACTAAAAAAGATGTGATGTTAGAAGCCAATCATAATGACTTGCAAGATCACGATTGAAGGCATCCAATAATGCAGTACTTAACTGGCCCATCTTCGAAGGCCAGCAGAAAGATCAAACTACAATCTATGTAATACATAGTGTATGGTAATACTCTTTACAAAAAGGGAGCAGATGGATTGTTATTGGAATGTCTAGGACCAAAGGAGGCATTGACAGCCATGGCTGAAGTTCATGAAGACATCTGTGGTGCTCATCAGCCTAGTGTGAAGATAAGATGGCTGCTTCGAAGACATTTCTATTATTGGCCCACCATCCTTAAAGATTGTATAGAATATGCTAGAGGTTGCCAAGCATGCCGAAAGCATGGCATGATAAGACATGTATCAATAACTGATTTACATGCAGTTGTAAAGCCTTGGCCATTTAGAGGTTGGGTTATGGATATGATAGGGAAAATACATCCACTTTCTTCGAAACATCATTGTTTCATCTTAGGGGCCACAGACTACTTCACTAAGTGGGTCGAAACTAAACCATATAAGGTTGTAGACCAAATTGAATTTATTGGATTTATTAAAGATCTGATTCACAGGTTTAGCATCCCGCATACCATAACTATGGATAATGAGACTGTATTCAATGGAAAGATGGTAAAGTCTTTTGCGGCAGAGTTTGGAATTAGCCTTGTTAATATTACCCCTTATTATGCAAAGAAAATGGACATGCAGAATCATCCAATAAGTCTTTGAAAAAAGGAATACAAAGAGTTGTGGAAGACAATCCAAGGGATTGTCATAAC